GGTCCCTCCGGTTCCCCCGGTCCCCCGCACCCCGGCAGGGCTCGCAGTGGCACTCGGCGATGCGGAGTGTCCCCCCCGGTCCCCCCGAGTTCCCCGCACTTCCCCCGGTTCCCCCCGGTCCCTACGGTCCCCCCAGTCCCCCCGCACCCCGGCAGGGCTCGCAGTGGCACTCGGCGATGCGGGGCAGCAGCGCGGGCCGGGGGCGGCCGCGGGGGCAGGGCAGGAGCAGCGCCCGCACGGGCCGGGCGGGGTCCAGCCGGTAACTGCAGCACTCGCACAGAGACCGCACGTACGGCTCCTGGGGGACAGCGGGGTCACGGGGACAGGGGGACACCCCCCGACCCCGCCCGGGCACTGCGGAGCGGGTCTGGGGTCTCACCAGCCCCCCGCGCCCCCCGTACCTGGGCGCTGACGGCCGTGCGGGAGCGACACGCCCCCGCGCAGTAGGTGACACGGACACCCCGCAGGACACACGCGCCCTTGGCGATGGTCCGGAGCGCCGTGAGGAGCCGGCACGGCCCGGGGGGCTCCTCTGCACGGTGAGGGGGGGTCCGGTGTGAGCGGGGGGGGGTCTCGGGGCCGCCCCTCCCTAGGGTCCCAGGGTGCTGAGTCTTACCTGGCCACTCGTCCCGGCACACGGGGCAGCAGCTCCCGGGCTCCCGCACCGGCTCCGTGCCCTGCAGGGACCCCCCAGGCTCAGGCCCTGCCCTCGGGGACCCCCCCGCGCCCCCCGCACCGCCCCCGGAGCCCCTCACCTCCGGGCAGGTGAGCGCGGGGCAGGAGGTGGCGCAGGTGACGCGTCCCTCGGAGCAGCGACAGGTCCCGCACTGCTCCTGCCACTCGCTGCCGGCCTGGAGGGGGACAGAGACCCCAAATATTGGTCAGGAACCCCCAAACAAGGGATCAGGGACCCCCGTCCCGCGCTCCCCGCCCCGCTCACCGCTCGCAGCGCCCCGCGGTGCCGGCACCCGCAGCTCCCCGCGCTCACGCACTGCCCGGAGCCGTTCCGGTACCGGCCAGGGGCGCAGGCGCAGCGCGGGGGGAACGAGGGGGTCCCGAGAGTGCCGAGGACCGTGGGGGTCGCGGGGGTGCTGGACGTGTCCGGAGTTCCGGGGGTCGCGGGGGATCCGGAGGTTCCGAGGGTCGCGGGGGTCCCCCCGCAAGTCCCGGGGGGCTCCGCCAGGTCCTGGCAGCTGCGCTCGCAGGCGGGGCCGGGGTCCAGCCATACTTCGCCCGGGGGGCAGCCTGGGGCACCGGGAACGGCACCGGGAATTGCAGCGCGGATCGCACGGGCACCGCCCCGACCCCCGGCCCTCCACCCATCAGCCTCCATCCCTCCCTCCTTTCCTCGCTCCCTCCATCCCTCCGTCCCCGTTCTCCCGTTCTTCCATCCCTCCGTTTCCCGTTCCTCCCATTCCCCCGTTCCCCGTTCCCTCCATCCCCCCTTTTCACCGCTCCACCCCTCAGTCTCTCTCCCTCTCTCCCTCCCTCCCTCCCTCCCTCTCCCCGGTGTCCCGGGCTCTCACCGGGGCACTCCTGGGGGTTACACGGCGCCGTCTCCTCCCCGGGGCTGTCCCCGCACCGCGACCCCGCCCCGGGATCCTCCGGGCACTGCCGGTGCCGCGTCCGGGTCCCGCCGCCGCAGCTGCGGGAGCAGCGGGACCAGGGGGACCAGGGGGACACGGCGGGGGACAGAGGGGACACGGGGTATGCGGGGGACAGGGGGGACAGGGGGATCGCGGGTGTCGCGGGCCCCGGGGAGGGACACGCCAGCCCTGGGCAGCTCCAGGTCCCGTTCCCGCAGGTGCTGCACAGCGGGTGACACGCGTGTCACCGTCACGGCACGTGGGGCTCTGCTGTGTGGCACCGCCACCGTGCCCGTCCCGCTGTCACCGTGCCCATGCCACCGTTCCAGTGCCCGTCCCGCTGCCACCACCGTGTCTGGCACCCCCCCGTCCCCGCGCCGTCCCCCCGTGTCTGTCCCCGCGTGTCCGTGCCCACCCCTCGTGTCCTCCACGCCCCCCCAGCCGTGCCCACCCCCCCGCGCCCCCTCCGCGGTGTCACCCACCAGTTGTGACACCCGATCTGTGTCACGGTCCCCGGGGTCACCTCGCGGGTCCCGTTGTCCCCTCCGGGGGTCCCGCAGCGACAGCGGCTCAGGGGGACACAGTTCCCGTCCTGCAGCAGCTGCCCGGGGGGACAGCGGCACCCTGGGGGCACGGGGGGCACCCGTGGGTGTTGGGGGGACACAGGGGACACCCGCGGGTGGCGGGGCAGCCCCCGGCCGTACCTGGCTCGCAGGGTCCCTGCAGACACAGCACCTGTGCCCAGGTGTCGGCGCAGGTCCGGGGGCACCGCCCGGCGCAGGGGCTGCGGGTCCGGCCCCCCCCGCCGCACCCCGGATCTGGGGGGACACGGGACCCCCTCAGCAGCCGTGGGGCGCGGGGGGTAACCCAGGGTGCGGGGAGGGGTCCCCCGGGGGTTACCTGGGCAGCTGGTGGAGCTGCAGCTCTCGCTCTGGGTCCGGACCCCCGCACACGCCCGCCCGGGGGTCTCCGGGTTCAGGGGGTGCCGGTGGCGCAGGCGGGACCCCCCCACACAGGGGTCTCCGCAGGGTCCCCAGGGCCCCCAGGGGCTCCAGTCACACGGTTCTGGGGGGACGTCAGGGTCACCGGGACCCTCAGGACCCCCCCACCATCCCCCCGAATTCTCCAGAACCCCCAGGACCCCTCCAGAACCACCCAACGCCTTGTGTGACCCCCTGCCCTTGCCAGGACCCCCCAATCCCCCCTGAGACCCCCATACCGGCCGCACACGGGGTGTCCCAGCACTCGGGTCCTTCGGGGGTGCAGGTGCTGCGGGGGGGACACACACACGATGGGTAGGGGTCCCTCAGACCTCCCCTTGCCCCCCTGGGCCCCCCCAGCCCCCCCAACTCACCACTGCCGGCACGGCCCGGGGCTCCAGCGCTCGCCCAGCCCCCGCTCGCCCCCCGCCCAGGGGCACAGAGGGGGGCACGGGCTCTCCTCGCACCCCCGAACCTGCTCCTGGGGGGCCCCGCAGGCTCCCCCCGCGCCCTCGGGGGGGATGGGAGTCCTGGGGGGCGGGAGGGGTCACACGGGGCATTGGGGTGAGCGGGGTGGCACCGCAGGTGTCCCCGCAGCCCCCCCGGTGTCGTGTCGCCCCCGTGGGTTTCGTGTCCCCCCCAGTGCCAGGTGCGTCCCCAAGGTGACCCCTAAGGTGACACGGCCCCCCACAGGTGACGTGTGCCCCCCCCAGTGCCATGACCCCCCCCACCAGACAACCATCCCTCCCAACTTCTGTGTCCCCTCAGTGTCCCTCCACAGGTGCCACGTGTCCCCCTCACAACCCCCGTGTCCCCCTCACCTGTACCGCTCCTGCCGTCCCCCCCCGCAGGTGACACTGCAGGCTCCCCACTGGCTCCAGCGGCTCCAGGTGCACGGGGGGGTCCCGGGGGGGGTCCCGGGTGTGGAGGTTGGGGGGGGACACCCCCCGGGCACGCAGCGCAGCCGCCCCCCCGCGCAGGTGCAGTTCTGGCAGCCCCGGGGGTGCCCGCCCCCCCCCGGCACCCAGAGGTGCCCCCCCGAGTCCAGGCACTCGC